TTATTGTCTTTGAATTATTCTCCTGGTTCTACTCACCTCACTCTGTATCAGTTCAAAGAAGTCTTCCCAAGTTTCTTTGAAATCACCCCCCTCATAATTTCTTACAACACAATAGTATACCAAAATCTTTATATCTCATACTTTATTCATTTATTCCCCAAATTGATGAACACTCCCCCCCATTCCAGTTCTTTGCCACCTTAAAAAGAGCTATAAATATTTTTGTACATCCTTGGAGTGTCTTTTGCTTAGGTTTAATCCCTCTCTTAATCTACCTTCACCCCCCCTCCCCTCTTTCTCCTACCTCCTTCTCTTTTCTTCCTTTTCCCTCATGTTTCCCTGTTGAGTAAAATGAATTTCTGTGCCCAATTCTCTATGTGTGGGTGTGACTTAACTAGTTCAGATGAGAATGAGGTTCAAGCGTCTTCTGCTTCTTCAACCCTTTACTTCTTGTTTGTATAGACCTTTACTTTTATACTCCAATTATGTGAGATAATTTTCCCTAACCTTGTTTTTCCTCCTCCCTCTTTAGTGTACTCCTCTTCCCCCTACTCTTCCCATTCTTTTAAAAAAGATAATCAAGACATAACAACTTCTTTCTAATTAGATTCCTTCTATGACCTCTAGTGATTATAGTATTCAGAGTAGTCACATGTATTGTCTCATATTAGAATATAATCAGTTTATCCTGTTTTATTCCCTTATGATTATTTTTTCATATTTATCTTTTTTTTCTCTTGACTTCTGTGTTATACTTCAAAGTTTCTACTTAGCTCTGGTCTGTTCATCAGGAATGCTTGGAAGTCTTTAGCCTTTATATTTACAGCCAGATTTGTTTTAATTCTTCACTGATCCATCTGATCTTCTAGGAAGGAAAAGAAATTGCCATCCTGCTACGTATTAAATACAAAGGGTTGCGCATGGATCAGATGATTTATAGCTGGAAGGAACCTTAGAGGTCACCTACTATAAGTCATTTTACAGATGAGGAAACTGATGACCAGGTGAAGAAGTAATTTGCCCGAGGTCACAGAATCAGAGATAAGAACTGGCAGGGATCTCAGAGGCCATCTAGTATAACCAAAACCTGAAAAATAATCTTTTCTTACAACTGACTCCAAAATCAATTCTCTATCCATCACACCACAAAGTCTTATAAGATAAGAGACTAGTGTATATTTAATATTAAAAATATACTCATCTAATATTAAAAATATTTAACTCCTTATAGTAAAACAACATATCTTTAATATTAAGAATAATAATGTTTATGTTAAATATAAAACATATTAATATACTCATTATAAAATGTAATTAAAATAAAAGCCAAATTTAAACAAAAACCTTTTTTTTTAAACTTTGCACCAGCCTTGTGATTATATTAATATAGGAAACTCCCAATGAGGAAACTTCATCTACTACATATCTGCTTATGTAGGCTGATATCTGCAATTTATAATCTTAGAGTTGCTTGGGGGTACTGGGAGAGTGCCCAAGGTCATATAAGTCAGTGTATGTCATAGGTGGGACTTGGATCCCAGACTACCTTCTCCAGTGCCAGGTCAACTCTCCAAAGGAAATGACTAGTTACTATGTTTAAAGATGCTGCTTTGAGGGAAAACTTTTAAAAGAATAAATACTTTGCACAGTAAGTGTACTGTATCCCTTAACGCATAACTTTTCAGATTTGGGTGCATTTTAATTCTCATATTTGTCTTTTTTTTTTGCTTGTTTTTCTTTTTTCTTGAGGCAATTAGAGTTAAGTGACTTGCCCAAGGTCACACAGCTATTAAGTGTCTGAGGCTGGATTTGAACTATGATCTTCCTGACTTCAGGGCCTGTGCTTTATCCACTGTGCCACCTAGTTGCCCACATATTTATCTTAATTAGAATAATTTTTTATATCTGTTGTCTCCCTCAGATTGTATATAACTCTGGGCCTCAGACTGAATTGGTTTCTGACCTCCCATAACTTCCCACTCTTCTGTTGGCTAGGACTTTCTCCCTGTTCAAGTTAATCAAAGAGAAAGAGATAGTTTTTCTTTCCAGTGTACTCTCAGTCAGGTAAAAAGTTTTCTGTTTCCTTTCTATGAGATGGAAGAAGAAAAAGAAATGTAAAGCATCCTTCCCCTTCTTTTTCTAAATATTTTTCATTGAAGCTTTTTGTGTTCTTCCTGACCATGTAGCATGTTTCATCTGAGTTCTCTGGAGTCATGTTTGGTCACACTAATCGGAGTTTCTAAGTCTTTCAAAACAGAAATATACCATCCCTTTTTCACTCCCTCCCCTAATTGTGAACCATTCCTTGAAACAAAGCAAAACACTGAACAAAACCAAAAGCAACCAGCCTGCAACATTCTGCCTCTAGAGTCTCCCACCCCTTATCAACCAACCAATCAACCAATCAATAAGCAATCAATAAACATTTATTAAGTGCCTACTATATGTCAGGTGCTAGGGATACAAGCACAAAAAATGAAACAGACTCTTCTCACAATGAGCTAACATTCTATTGTGGAGCACAAGTATGTATATAAATAGTTAAATATAAAGTAGTTTGGGAAGGAGGGAGAGCACTAGCATTTGGTGGATCAGGAAAGGTTTCATGTAGAAAAGGAGGAATATGTGTATTTCAAACTTTATTGTCCAAAACAAAGATTGTTCATTGAAATGAATCTACATCACTACACTTTTGCTCACGGTCTCTCTGCCCCTTTGACTATATCCAATAATTAGATGAATTTTTTCCCCTTTGACTAGATCCAATAATCAGAAGAATTTTTTTTCTTTTGACTAGATCCAATAATTAGAAGAATTTTTTTTCCCTTTGACTAGATCTGATAATTAGAAAGATTTTTCTTTTTCTTCTTTGGATGAACTTTTTTTCTGCCTCTTTGAACAAACTTAATCTCATTTCCGCTGCTCAGTCTCTACAGAAACAAGATAATAGAGTCATCGAGTATTAGAGTTAGTAGGGACATAGGAGATCATCTAGTTCATCTTCTACCTCTCCAACCCCTTTCCCCATTCTACAGATAGGAACATTTGATCCATAGAGGTTAAGGAACTTGCCGGAGGTCACACTGCCAATTCATGAAACAATTAGAAAAAGCTGGCAGTTCCTGATTCTTAGTCCAGTCTTTCTATCACATTTTTTGAGTTTCTTTAGCTTGAATCTACATGCCCCATTAATTTGCTGGTTATATTTTTCTGATATAGATTCCCTTAGTAATGGGCTTTAGCATTGCCCTAGAATACCCAGAAGATTACTTAAGGGAACAAAGCATTTTAAACCAAAATGTGTGGAACAGTTCAATGTTTACTTTTCTGGGCCCAAGTTTCTTCATCTATAAAATGAAGGGGGTTGGATTGTATTATTTTATATAATATATATATAGTGTGTATGTATGTGTATATACATATATGCACACACACATATATATACATGCATATCTATACATAAACACATTTTAAATAGATATATTTTATATATTTGATGTATATACATGTATTAATTTTATATGTATAGAATTAGAAATAAAAGATTTGATCAAAACTATAGGTATTAAATTCTAGATCAGGCAACTGCCAGTTAGCCTTGTAAGTCAACAATTTGGTTTACATGTCTAGAACAGGTTACAATTTATCCATGGCCCTTTAGGAAATATGTACTGTGTATAATGCAACATTCAGGTAAGTGAAAAATTGTCAGATTTTTTTTTTTTTTAGTCTAGTGATGTCAAATAGTGCATAAGTGAAAGGAGTGTAAGATCAGGAGACAGGAGACTCAGGTTGAAATCTTGGCTCTGACACTTTCTGGTTGTGTGGCTGTGGGCAAAACTTTGAACTTCCTTGAACCCTTGTTTCCTCCTCTATCAGATAAGGGTAAAAACAGCACCTGCCCTATAAGATTGTTGGGAAGATCAAATAAGATAATGCATGAGAAGCACTTTATAAACCTTAAAGGGCTTTATAATATGAACTGCTGCTGCTGCTGTTGCTACTACTACCACTACAACATTCTTCACAGGGTTATTGTGAAACAGATACTCTGTAAACCTTAAGGTACCATAAACACATGAGTTATGAATTTCACTTTCCTGCCTCCTTTCAACTCCACAACACTCTCCCCCATTTTGGAGTTGTTTTGGCAACAAACATCACTTGAAGAGCTCACAGTCCATTTGAAGAGGCAAGACATCTACAAATAAAGCGAAAGTTAATGATGCCAGGCCATCTTTAATAGGAACCAAGTGAGTCAAATCCATAGTAAGTACTGCTATAGGACTTCTGAGAAGGGAGAGATTACAGAAAAGATCATATCACTACTTATTCAAGTTTGTTGGTGCAGAATAGCTTAACTAGGACTAGGGGATACTGAGACTTTAACCCCAAACCTAAATTGCCTCTAGACTAGAAAGAGGTAGTCAAAGAGAAATCTGTCTTGTCTCTTTTCATCTCCCTCATTCTTCCTTCTGGCTCCCCTTATCCCTCTTTCTTCTGTCTCTCTCTTCTGTCTCTATCTCTGGAAAACAATGAGAAAACCAGGCTCTTGCTATTTGTTGAATTCAAAGCAGGGAAGAAAGGAAGCATCTGTTCCTGGATAGGTACTCTAACAAGAGTTTTGAGTGTGTCCAAGGCAAATGAGCTGTCCAAATTTATTACTCATTTTCCCCTTTGTTCTCTTTTCCATTCTGGAGTGGTCAAAGGGAAGGTTAACAGGACAGAGAATCCGGGTTGAGGTGGGGACCCAAGCAAAGCTGCCCATGACTACAACAAGCAGCAGATCTTTGGGTGACTGACTGCTGGCCTTCCCATCTCTACTAGTGGTACAACTAATACCACTGTGCCTCAGACCACTGCCCCTAATAAGCCAGCCTGACATATGGTTGAGTGATTTTGGTCTAAAGAAAGTTTCTTTTTCTCCTTATTAGATTGTACTTAGCTTCCAGTGTTATCTGTGGATTAAATGCTTAACCAATTGATGATACTACTTGCAGGTTCCTCGAGATAAAAGGTTGCTCACTGTTTGCAAAGCTAGTGACAGTCAAGAAGATCAAGATAAAAGGTAAGGAATTATCTTACTATAATAAGATATTTTCTATATGTTATGTTATATGTAATACATATTATATACATATATGCATCCTCAGATTAGAAATCCTCAAACATAAAATTTCAGACCTAGAATATTTCATTTGATTTACCCACCTAATTTTACAAAAGATTTTTAAAAAGCTATATTAAAAAAATTTTTAATTAGCAAAAATATTTTTCCTCCCTCTAAACTCTCCCAAACTCCCCTCCACCCCCCCCCAAAAAGTAGATAGAGTGCTGGACCTGAAGCCAGGAAGACTCATCTTCCTGAGTTTGAATGTGGTCTCAGACATTTACTAGCTGTGCGACCCTGGGCAATTCACTTAACCCTGTTTGCCTCAGTTTCCTCTTCTGTAAAATGGACTGGAGAAGGAAATGGCAAACCATTTGGTATCTTTACCAAGAGATTCCCAATGTGGAGTCACAAAGAGTCAGATACAACTGAAAAATGACTGAACAACAACAAACAAATATGCAAAGTTAAGCAAAAGTAATTATTGCATTGGGTATGTCTGAAAAATATGTGTCCGTCCCTGAGTCCATTATCTCTCTGTCAGGTGGTAGGTAGTATGTTTGATCATGGGTCTTCTGGAATCATGATTGGTTATTGGGTTCATCAGCATTCTTCAGTCTTTCAGAATTGCTCATCTTTTACAGTATTGTTGTTAATCTACAAATTGTGCTCTAATTCTGCTCCCTTTCCTCTGTATCAGTTTATGCAAGTTTTCCCTAGCTTCTCTGAACCTGTTCATTTCATCACTTCTTTAAACACAATAGTATTCTGTTCCATTCATTCATATATGATAATGTTTCAGCCATTCCCTGAATTGATAGACACTCCCTCACTTTCTAATTCTTTGCCACTAGAAAAAGAACTGCTGTAAATATATTTATACATATAATGTACCAATCTCACTTTACAGATGAGGAAACCAAGGCACTAAGAGTGGTTGAAGGACTTGCCCTAGCTTATGCAGCAAGACAGAGGCAGAACTCAGGTTTTAACTTCTATTCTTGTCCTATGTTCTTTCAACTACACTTAGCAGAACTTTTGATCCATATTGATTGAAAAGAGCAGTATTCAATGGAAAAGCACTCTTGAGAGAAGAATAGGGATTGGAGATTTGTTCTCCTTTATTTTTCTTTTTCATTTGGAAACCAAAGTGGCCACTTAAGTGGAGAGAGGTAATGAAAGGCTTTCTTGACTCAAAATATCTCCCTACCTTCCCTGCTGTATGAGATTAACAGCATTAGCTTCAGTTCTAAGAAGGATAACATATCAGCTAGGATTAGGTTATCTGAATGATCCATTATTACAAGAGGAAGACCCTGAAGGAATAGGACAAAGCCTGGGAAGAGCATTGCATCAAATGGGTTGGGTTCAAGTCCCAGCTTTATGACAGACTACCTTTATAGCCTCAGGCAAATCAATTCAACCCTTGGTGTCTCTGTTTCCTCACCAGTAAAATTAGAGGATTGGACCAGATAGCCTCAAAAGACCCTTCCTGCACTAAATCTATGATCCTAGCATGAAGAGGAGGGAAAGTAGGTTGAGGACATTTAGTGCTCTGTTACTGTCGAGGTTAGAATGAGGCACTTCAGTGTCTGGGCATGTTGGGCATCCTGGAAACCTGGGAAGGCACTTTGAGCCTTTGGCAAAGGAGAGAGAAGCAGGCAGTGAACACTGAGTTAGGAAGGAAAGGTACTAAAGGCAAATTTCACTTATTTCACAGTTTTATCCAGAGCTAGGACTGATACCAGCATAACATCTCCATAGTATTTTCACTTCTAGATAGCAGCTCTCTCGGTAATACCTAAGACCTTTTCTACCAAACCTCAGCTTTTGGGATACAGAATGCTTATTCTGCCCTATTGAATATCCTGCCTGTGATGGTATATGTACTCTGTGAATCTGACTCTCCCACCCTATTTGGAGTTTCTGTGTGACCATGCTGCCACTTGAAACACAGCAATGAAGATGAATCACCTCCCCTACCTTATGCATGTTTCATGTCAGGGTCAAGGTTGTGATGTTTTCCCACCAATCTGTATTTATTGATCCTGTACCAAATGAACCACAGTCTGCTAAAGCCTACACTTAGAATTAGCATCATAGGGTTAGAAAAAGGATAGTCTTTTTAGAGATTAATAATTTTTTATTATACTTATTTTTTAATTTCGTATTTTATTTTTCACCAATTACATGTGAAAACAATTTTAACATTCTTTTTTTCCAAATTTTGAGTTCAAAATTCTCTGACTCCATTCCTCCCCTCCCCCCTCATTGAAAAGGCAAGCAATTGACATAGGTTACACATGTGTAGTCATGAAAACACATTTAAGGATATGTTTTTACAAGCCCTGATTGTGGGACATTAGGAAAAGTCCATGGAGTTTAAGCCAGACGTCATGGGTTTGTGTACCAGTTCCATCACTTGCAAAATACTTAACCTTTTTAGAGTTTCCTCTTTAGTTTCCTCTTCTGTAAAATGGGGAGCAAATGAGCTGATATCTAGGGAAGCATTTTATAAGTCATAAGGCACCATAACAAATACAAGGTGTATCACTGCTAATGAGGAAGAAAGGTGATGTTATCCATCCCTAACTTCCTGGATATCATTTAAAAGCATATCAATGACATCAATTCAATTGTAACTATTATTTGGATAATTATAATACCAGAATTGGAGGGTGAGACCCATACTACTTTATGTCGAACTTCATAGGCTCATGGGTAAGCAGCTCAGTGGACAGAGCACCAGGCCTGGAGTCAGGAAGATCTGAATTCATATTTGACCTCAGACACTTCCTAGCTGTTTGACTCTGTGCAAGTCACTTAGCCCATGTTTGACCCAGTTGCCTCACATGTAAAATGAGGATAATAATAGCACCTACCTTCCAAGGTTGTTGGGGATCAGACGAGATAATAATTGTAAAGTGCTTAGCAAGGTGCCTGGCATATAATAAATACTATATAAATGTTGCCTATTATATTATTATCATAGGACCATAGATTTAGAGCTGGAAGGGACCTCAGGGGCTACTTAATACAACCCCTTCATTTTACAGATGAGGAAAAATGATGTCCAGGGAGGTTTAAAGTGGTGTACCCAAGGTCACAGTTCTTATTATGATGGACTTTTTTATGTGGTTCCTTTTTTTTTTTGTTAGAGAATACAATTTGCCCTATAGAAGCAAGACATATCATAGAGTAGATAGCATGCTGGACTTGGAGGCAGAAGACTTGGGTTCACATCCCACCTTTTACACTTATAAGCTATGTGACAATGAAAAAGTCAAGTTCTCTGAGCTTCAATTTCTTCATCTGTAAAATAAGCATAATATTATAACTGCAGTCTCTATGTTACCAGATTGTTGTATGACTCAAGTGAATTAATGAAGGAAAAGTACTTTGCAAACGTTAAAGTGCTTTATAAATGTCACTAAAGATAAATCCATTTAATAATGGGTGATGTTATAATAGGATTTTACTACATTGTAACTATTTGCATATTGAGGTCTCCTTTTGTTAAAATAATAGGAAATTGGAGTAATATGGTTCCACTTTTGAAAAATAGAAGATATAATATGCCATTTCTAATGCTTAATTTATTTATTTTAAATGTTTTATTGTTTTTTTCTTTTTAAAACATCACCATCACTTCCAAATGTCTCTTTTAACCCAAATAATTGAATCCTCTCTTATGACCAAAAAGAATCCTCATTTCTGAATGTATACCTCATTCTGCACCTATTGTCTACCATCCCTTTATAGATAGGTAGGGGATATAATTCACTATCAAGTCCTGGAAGTCATAATTAGGTGCCACATCTATCAGAGTTGTGAAGTCTTTCAGTTATTATTTTTCTTTATATTATTGTGACCATTATGTAAATTGTTCTGGCTCTATATTGGTTCATGTAAGTCCCAAGTTTCTCTACTTTCTTATTTATCATTTCTACGGTATAAAAACACTTCATTGTGTTTATCTACAATTATTTGTTCAGCCATTCCCCAGTTGGCAAGCTAACTTTCTTTCTAACTCTTTGCTCTTAAAAAAGTTTGGTTTCTTTTATTTATTTGATGCTTAAGTAAATTTTTAATTCTGTCCCAGGTAAATCAAATGCATTCAAATAATCTCCTCAATTCTAGCAAATTTCTTTTCAAATATCTTCTTGCAGCTTCCTGGTTTGGGCAACTATGACTAAGCACAACAGTTTCTACTTCTCTGGATTCTTGCCACTTAAATAGATTAACTATTTTTTGATTTGCCCTTATAGGGAATTCTGGGGTTAGGCAAATTTGGAATGTCAAAGCAAACTTCACACAAACTGAGACCAAAGAAATAACACTTTTAGGGTTTTAAATAGAACTGGGGAATCTGGGATATGTAAATGGAGAAAGTGAAGGTCAGCTTCATCTGGGCCCTGGTGTGGTCTGTGGAAAAGATGGTCAACTGTGGGGAATATTTGGGCAAATCCATTTGGGACTTGTTTCTACACGGTGCATGTGAAAGTGGAGGCTGGGCAGGTCTGTGCTTAATTTCATCAGAGTAGACAGTTCCTTGAGGCTTTTGGCTCCAGCTCTCCCATTTGACTGTCTCTGTTGATCAGGTTAGACATGTGCATTTCCACATCTTCACCAAGTGCTATGTAATCACAGTCTTAATAAGTCACATTAGTGAAGAAACTTGATTATTTCCGGAGACATTATATCATGTTGTGGGGTTCCGGTGGGACTGAGTCTCTTCAGCAACCCTCCTATTCCCTTCCCTTCTCTTTCCCCTCCCCCTTCCTAGTGGGGCCAAGGAATCTATAGGTGCCTTTTACTTTCAAAAACCATGGTTTTTTTAGGGGGAGGAAAGTGGGGCGGGTGATTATTTAGCTCTCAAAAATACTGAAATAGTGGAGATTCCACTGGGAACATTTCTCACCATCAGGATAAGCCTCCTTGTGATGCACAGTTTAACTGAAATAAAGATACCTGCAGAATCTTTCATTTCAATCCAGCAAAACAAGTGTCCAATAAGTACACTGTGATGGGAATGGAGACTGGAGCTTCAACCATGGGCATAGACAGGGAAATTTCCTCTATCAATGCAGATTGGTACCTTCTCTTCGATTTAATCTTAGAGCAGCACAGTTCCCAACATGTGGTCTGGGGATCTTTTGGGGTCCTTGAGACCTTTTCAGGGAGTGTACAAAGAGAAAAATATTTTTATAATAATACTAAGATACTTTAATTTCTAATATGCTAAATATTGGTAGATAAAATCCTTGCATAAACAAAAGCTTTTTGGGGAGAGTGGTCCTCAATAATTGTTTAGAATGTAAAAGGATCTTGGGACCAAAGTTTGTGAACTGCTGTCTTAGAGCCCTGAGGGGTTAAGAGATGTGCACAGTGTCAGCCCAGCCAATCTGTCAGTGAGGGGCCTCTGAGACTGGCTCCTTACCCTCTACAACACACAGACTCTATAAAAACAAATAAAAATATCAGACTCATAGAGACTACCTTGCCCAGAATCACACAGCTAGTAAGTATCAGAGGCAGCAGTGAAAACTAGGACCCACTTGATTTTAGATGCAGTACCTTCACTCCACCACACCTCCGTGCTAGGTTCAGTCCACAAACATTTATGAAACACCTATGTGCCAGTCACTATTCTAAATGCTTGGGATACAAAGAAAAGCAAAAAACACAGTCCCTGTCTTCAAAGAGCCCAAGTCTTAAGTCTCTCCCTATCCCAATACATCCTCCATTCATCCAGTCACTTCTCCTACAAAGGAAACTCCAGTGGCTCCCTATTGCCTCCAGGATCAAATACGAAATCCTCTTCTTGGTGTTCAAAGCCCTTCATTACCTAAAGCCCTACTACCTTTCTTATAAGGCTTTTTATACTTCACTCTCCACCACATAGTCTTTGATCCAGTGACACTGACCACCTGAGAGCTATATGAACAAGATACTCCATCTTTCAGCTCCAGGAATTTTCTCTGGCTGTCCTCCATGCCTGGAATGCTCTCTCTCCTTATCTCTGCCAAATGACTTCCCTACTTTCCTGTGGCTTCCTTTAAATCCCAATTAAAATCCCATCTTCTATGGGAACCTTTCCAAACCCCTCTTAATTATAGTACTTTCTCTCTCTTAATTATTTCCTCTTTATCCTATCCTTATTTGTTTGCTTATTGACTCTTCCATTAGACTGTGAGCTCCTATAGGGCAAGGACTGTCTTTTGACTCTTTGTATTCCCATCTCTTAGCCCAGTGCTTGGTACATAGTAGTTGCTTAATATATGTTTATTGACTAAGAGCTCATGTTCTGATGAGAGACACACAACTATGCACATACATGGTATAAGCAGTGTAAATGAGAGGTAAGATCAGAAAAAAAAAAAAGGTACAACAGGTAGAGGGAGGCAGTATAGACTGGGAAAGACCTCTCTTGCAGAAGGTAAGATTTGGGCTGAGTTTTGAAGAAGGCCAGGAATGCCAGGAGGTACTGGTGAGAAGGAAGAACGTTTAAGGCATGGAGAGAGTCAGTGAAAAACGTGGAGTGTGCAGTGATCAGTGACCAGAAGACCAGTGTTGCTGGATTGGAGAGAATGTGGAGGGGTGTAAAGCACAAGAAAACTGGAAAGGTAGGAAGAGGCTACACTGTGAAGGGCTTTAAAAGCCAAATAGGATTTTATGTTTGATCCTGGAGGCAAAAGGGAGCCACTGGATTTTACTGAGCTGGAAAATGTCATGCTGAGTATACATAAATGAATAAGCATGACATGGTCCCTTAGACCTCAAAGCATTTAAATCTAGTAGGGCCAATAAGACAGGGATGCAAATAAGTATAATACAGATTAGAATGTGGGTGGGATATAGGAGTGGTAGGAAAATGTGCTAGGAGAAATTCAGGGAGGAAGAATTGCCTTCTAGTTAGGGGACTGGGAAAGTCTTCATGAAGCAGATGGCACCTGAGCTGGCTCAGCCTCATAAAACATCAGTTTGCTGCCTCTGTTTCTCAACATTCATGAGTAGTTCACAAAGAACTAAAAGTTCTTAGTGGTTAAAATGTGCAAAAAAAAAAAAAAATGAGGTTGACTACCAGCACTTTTTCCCAGTTATCTCTTTGCTTCTTACATTGGCCAGTCCCTCATACCCACATCAAAGCTGAGGCCTTATTTTTGTCAGTCCCTCTCCCCTGCCCCTACCTATTATATGTGAGATCTATGAGCTTCTTCCTGATTTAAGCCTTATTGCTTCATCTCTCCAAACTTGGGAAAATACTCTAGACTCAGGCTTCCCTGATCATCCATAATTATTTCCTTGGTTTAGTTGAAAATTTTTGTGCCCAAGTATCAGCTTGTTTTCATCTAAGTAGTATCTCTAAGAAAAGAAAAAAAAATCACTTTAAAAATGAGTCACTCACTATGTTTTTCTCTTTATTTGCCACCCTCCCCTCTTTTCCCCTCTTTTTCTGGGTTTGGCATGAACAGAAACTGCCTTGGGACTAGTGAAGCCCAGAGCAACCTGAGTGGAGGAGGAGAAAACCGAGTACAGGTCTTAAAGACTGTTCCAGTTAACCTTTCTTTGAACCAAGAACACCTGGAGACCTTAAAAAGGGAACAGTACAGTGCAAATGTGTCTGAGGGTTCAGCAGGCTGTGTGGCAGGAGTAGTGGTGGTGAAGGCTGAAGAGTTTACGCCCGTCTTCATGGCCCCATCTGTGCAGTACCCCAGAGGAGAAAGTGAGGAGCCCCGTGGTGTCATCTTTGAGCAAAATCAGTATGAAGTACCCAGCATGGCTCCCCATGCCAACTATCTCAAGGATGACCAGCGAAGCACACCAGACAGCACTTACAGCGAGACTTTCAAAGATGGCGCTACAGAGGTGAGTCAGTCGTGAGTTAATGAATGAATGTCTGATAACTGGGCATCCAGTCTTAGATTTCCAGAAGGCAAATGGGATACACACAACTAACTGAAGCTTTAGCATTTTTTAGTATTGGAATGAACATGATGTGTATGTGGTGGGATACGTATTTGGGAGAGGTTGTTTGTTTTTTGATTTCTGACATCTTAGCCCATTTGTTTCTTTTAAATTAATTTGGATTTTTAGCCTTTAAATCTAGGTATATTGTTTGTGGAAAATGTGGGAAGCTTATATAGAAACCCAAGTTTTTAAAGCTAGGAGTATTTTATGGAATCTGTATTTCTGTTTATCATCTTGTCATCTTTTATAGTTTGCTGTTAAGCACTCCAAATGTTCCCTGAATTAAGGTTGCTATCTATCTGGTTTTTGACCTGGGTTTGATTGTACTTGTCCAGTAGTTCAAATAGGCCTTTTCAATGTTCAGAAAACATCTACTTTTAAAACTTTTAAAACCATCTTTTAAGACTAGGATTAGGACAACTTGAAGAACAATGTGGTTGGAGTATGCCTTGGAGCCCTGCTGACTCAAAGCCTCATGAGGTCTGCTACTGACCCTGAAGCACTGTCCCCTCCTCCCATCCTAGCATCCTATGGTTGTTCTGAGGCCTACCTCCTACCATTGTTGGGCCCAACACCCCTCACCTTCCCTCCCACCCCCCACATAGAGACATACATGTTGCCTTCTTTCTCTTGCTTTCTCCTCTGAGGGATTGGAGGCTGGGGGCTGAGAACTGAAGTATAGGTTGCCTTTGTATTCCCACCACCCTAACCCCAAATGAATTTGCAAGAATTTCTCATTCCAGTTCTAAAGATTGCATTACCGTTCTATATTTCTGTGATTTTCCAACCTTTCTGGGACAATAGAGGACAGCATTAGTGTTAGACTCTAGCAGATATTTACCTAATCTTTCAGACAAGGGGAGGGAGGGGTATAATATTACCAGGGTGGACATGTCCACTCATAGAAGCAACTAGAAAAACTTACCTTTCCTCTATTTTGTAGATGACTTTGATAAAACTCTTTTTATAAAACTCTTACATTTTCTTCTTATTTGAGTAAGATGACATCCCAAGGTTGAGTAAATATGCATAAAATTGAAGCTTTAAATGTTCTAATTTGTAGTAGCTCAAGTACATAAGGTGGCACTTGCTTATTTTTTTTTAATTTGCAAGTGAATCTCCCCTTCATTGTCCTCCTGCCTTCCAAAGAAGCTTTGTCATCTCCACGGCATTCCAGAGGATGTGTACAGCATAGGGGTAACGACAGGTTCGGAGGCAGATCTGTCTGTGCAGAAACTACCTTTCCCCAAGAGCATGCAGAGACTGCCCAGGCCGTGCCCCACATATCCCATTTTGGGATATGTTTGTTTCTCTCCTGTTTGTTCCCATTAATTGATCTGCACAAAGAAATTCTGTTTGCATGAGCATGGTCACAAGTACCCGCTGCAGGCATATATAGTGAAGCCAGAGTGCAGTGACTTAGTGTTGGATAGATGAGATACATTTCCTATCTTGGGAGCTACCACTTTTCCTGCTCTTGGATATCTGAAGTAAAATTCTTAACATCATTTTAATAATTTGTATTTAAAATTCTTTTCCAATAATATTTATTGAAAACAAATTTTTTTAAATGAAGAGAGACTGTGCTGTTTTCAGACATTGTGGATGTCCAGTATATTAGAATGGAATTTTTTTAATTTTTCTCATCGTATCCTTGACACAAAATATAGTGCCTGGCACATAGTAAGTGCTTAATAAATATCCACTTGGTTGATTCAATCAACCAACATTGATAAATACTTGATAAATATTGTTTGTCAATAAATATAAGAAATCACATTTTGAGAGTTGAGATTTATCTCTGAGGTCATCTAGGTCGGTCCTGTCACTTTACAGATGAGGAAACTGAGGCCCATAGAGGTTAAATACCTGGCAGTGGTCACACAGGTAGTAAGCATCAGAACTGGAATTTGAACCCAACTCCTCTGATTTCACATCCAATACATATTCCACTGTACCAGATGTATAGAAACAGACCCTTACTCCCATCAATTTGAGGACAAATGGTTGCTCCTTCATGAGAGAAAAGCCGGTGATATATTTTTAGACACTATGTAGGTCTTTTCATTTGGTTTCTGCATATTAATAATAGCTGGTTTTTACATATAGCTTGACAGTTACAATGGATTTTACATGCATTGTTTAATTTGAGGCTCAGAACAACCCTGTGAGGTGGGGGAAGGGAAGGAAGGGCATAAGCACCTACTATGTGCCAGGCACTGTGCTAAGCACTTTAAAAAACAAACAAACATATATTCTCTCATCTGATCCTCATTTTGACCATGAAAGGTAGATGATATATCCTCATTTTACATTTGAGGAAACTGAGTCAGACAGTGGTGAAATAATTTGCTTAGCTATAATAGTACATTAGCTATTAAGTGTCTCTGACACCAGATTTGAACACAGGTCTTCCTGCCTCCAAGCCCAACTATCTGTCTGCTTGACCACCTTACTGCCTCTGTAATGCAACTGTTAATATCTTCACTTTACAGATGAGGAAACAGACTTGGAAAGATTAAGCCCAAGGTGACATGTTAGTAATTAGTGGATGCAGCAGTGGAGGCCAGGACTGACTCAGAGTTCAGTGTTTTTACCCCTGTACTATACAGCCTTTCAGAAGGACTTGGGCACATGGTCCAATGGCAATGGAATGGTCATGATATCTAGGTGGTGCATTATCAGCTGTATTTGTGTTGCAGATAAAAGTTCCACGAAAAGAGGTGATTGTTGTTTTTTTAATATCAAAGTGGAAAAGGGGGGCTAAAGGAATTCTCTGACCTTACCAGAAGCTAAGTGTTTGGGCTCAGTCCCAATGTTTTTGGTTTAACTGCTTTGTGGGGTTTAATCATTGCAGCCAAAATCAGTATTTGCATTGGGCTTTAACTTGCCTACTGCATTTCATTTTGATGGGAGTTTAAAAAAAAAGTATTCCAGTTATAATCTTTTGCTATAGTACTGCCAACTGGTCATATGATTAGGCAACCTCTGAGTAAAGTTCTTAAGGAAATCCCTGTAGTACAAATTCTTGGTTGAAATCTGTTACACTCACTGGTGGATTATTGAATTATATGGAAACCACTCAGCCTATTCAAGGGATACTAGCTCTGATGCAAGCCTGGATAGGTAGGAGGGAGGGTCGTTGCTATGAAGGGTCCAACTGATATCTCTTAAAGAACCAGTATCAGTGGAACATGAATAATTACATAAGCTTCAAATATTTTAGATGGTAACAAGATCTGTGCATAGTTTAAGAGGAATTTTGATCCCTTATTTGCCTCATTTCCAGCATGAAAAAAGGCAACTGTTCTCAAACCATAAAGTGCCTAAAAGCACTATGCTAGACGCAGACAATGTTTGGAGGGAGGAACATAGTGAAGTTTAAAATCCTGTTTAAAATCATAGTGAAGTTTAAAATCCTCGCAGCTTAGGGAGAGAGTCCATAAATTCAGAAAAAGAACAAATATGAGAACATTATACTTAACAAGTAAGAGTGAGTGTGACATATTGCATAGGAGTCCTGACAGAGTTAAGAATATCTGCCTTCACATCTTACCTCTGACACATAAGAACTGTGTGGGCAACCTGGCCTTTTTGCTGGCTCTCCCCATGCCTGGAATGAATGTTCTTTCTCTTCACCTCAATCTCCTGGCATCCCTGGCTTCCTTGAAATCCCAGGTAAATTCCTACCTTCTCAGGAAACTGCTACAATTTCTCCTTCATTCTAGTGCCTTCCCTCCATTATTTAGAGTTTATTCTGTACCTAGCTTGTTTGGGCCTTGTTGTTTCCATGTTGTTTCCCATAAAACTGTGAGCTCCTTGAAAGCAGAGACTCTTTTGCTTTTCTTCATACTCCTAGTACTTAATGCAGTGCCTGCAAATGGTCTATTGATTGGCTATTTGGCTATTTGGGGCAACTCTCTAAAACTACAGTTATCCCTTCCACATTGTGACTTTTCCCATCATGGTTTCAATATATTATGGGTCAGCAGACGAAATTAAATGGAAATTTTTTGGGAGTTTTGCAGAAGCCACAGACGACATACAAAGGCCAGCAGATGACACAAAAAGTTTAGAAACTCAGAAATATATAAAATATATGTATAGTTATTATATAATATCAACATACTTTATCTTTTAATATCGTAAATAATTGAGACTTCTTCTCTGGTACAAAAGGAGGGCCAAAATTTTTTATGTGGATTTTCCAGATCACAGGAGTGCCATACCCTTAACCTTTATGTAACAGAAGGAACAAGTGTATATAAATTGGAGAAAAATTTCAGAACTGTGTTGGCAGAGAGAGGCTCCTCCCTGGGAGTTCCCCATACCAGTGAAACCTTAGGGATGGGGCCTTCCCCGCAACTTTCAATATTCATATGTCAGAAACCATTAAGAGTTTAGACACTTTTTGTCAGGTTGAAGTCAGTGTTAACTATCGGAAAATTCTGAATACTTCTGTGCCCAGATAAGAGAATAAAAACAACAAACAAAAACTTTGAAACAGTCAGTCTTTGAGAGGCAGGTTGGTACAGTGCAAAGAGTTTGGAGGCCAGAAATTTTGGTTCAAATCTCCCCTCTGCCCAAGGAAAGAACAAAACAAAACAAAACAAAACAAAAGACATTTTAAACCAGTTCTGGCTGCATTGGCTGGCTGTCTGTCACCATGCCTGGCATGCACTCCCTCTCTAGCTCTGCCTCTTGGAATCTTTAGACTTGGTTCAGGTAGCACCCTCTAGGTGGTGAGATTTTTTCTGGTTCTCTTCCTCTTCCCCTTATAATTCTGTTCTGTGCGTGTTCTCCTCTTTGTGTGCATACACGCATGTACGTGCACACATACAACACATGTATATACATATGTATGTGTATTCACATATTTGTGTGTATGTATATATGCA